GATGAGGAGGGAATGGGGCTTCTGACGGAACAGCTCTGAGAAGTTGAGAGGCTTCCAGAATCTTGGTGAGTTTGGAGTGCAAGCCGTACAGGGGTCATGGCAAGAAATGAGCCTAGAAAGAGAGGAGGGGACGGTGTCCAAGAGGGAGGAGTGCGGGCTGAGCCATCCAGAGCGTCTCAGCTGGGCCCCCGGACCAGAGGTCAGAAGGCGCTGCTGCGGAGAGCAGGCAGCAATGCCAAGCCCTGGCCAGGCTGTGGAGCGCACAGCCGACCACTCCGTCCAGCTCTGACCCAGGGGCCTTGGCAGCCCCGTGCGGGTCCCTTGACCCTGATGCACCCGGACCTCCACCTTCCCGTCTTCAGGCGGGCTACCAAGCAGCACCCAGCCACCGTGCACAGCTGTGCACACGAGGCACTTTCCGGAGCACCACCTCGGGCATGCCGCCGGACGTGCTGTCAGGACGAGGTGTTCCAGGCTAGGCCGAAGCTACATGTTCTCATCCGTGCTGCACGCTCAGTGGCTGCGTCAGAGTCTGATCGACAGCCCCAAGTCATTAATGAAGCCTAACGTGTGGGCAGACAACAGAAGAGGCACGGGGCAGAAGAAACAGCCTCAGCGAGACCTAAAGCTCTGAGCAGGGCTTGGTGCCACTGGCTGCAGCTGGAGTCCCTCTGTGCTGCTGGGTATGGTGGCAAAAAGCCAATTCGCATGTGCGGGCCAGGGCTGCCTGCTCAGTCCCTGACAGTTCAACTATCCCCAGAATCCCTTAGCTCAAACGGAAAGTGGGAAGCAAGCTGGGCCTAGGGAGAACAGACAGGGCGGGACCAAAGCCCCAGACGCCTCTGCCCATGTGAGGACCGACCACTCCTCTGCATCTGCTCATTTCCGGCGAGGATCAGCTTTTCAGCCCACACATCTGTCCCCAGGAAGAATCGCTCCATGCACCGCGCAAGCCTCCACCCCCTTTCATGTCTACTAATTGCCCACCAAACGGACAGACTTTTAAAAGGAAGGCTGATAATTGAAATTGCACATAATTACATTTAAAAGTAACGCTTTTAGCTTCCCCCCTCTCAGTCAAAACTCAATCTTGTCCAAATAATCTTAAAGTGTTCCCCTCCCCTTAGACAGCGATGGATGAAGTTTCCCTGGAAATCTTTTAGCTGCTAATTATGAGCGAAGGCTCTTTGGGGCTTTTTTGAGGGGAGGGATTTCTCTCTGACTTCTCCAAGCAGTTCGTCTGGCTCCTGCTTATAAGTGGTTCATTTTCCACCTGTGGGGAAGAGTGAGATCTCCTCCCGGTTTTAATCACAGTCTGGGTGTTATCCCCGGATGGATAGGTGAGTGAGGCTCTGAGAAGCAAGAGACCGCGCTGTTAATCAGGGATAAATCCAAACGCTGTGGAGGCCCAGACCCTTCACCACCTTACCTCGCTGGTCTTGTTAATGGTTCACACGCTGAACCACGTGCACAGCTGAAGGAAATTCAGCACATGCAGAAACCTGCCGGAGGGGAAAGCACAGGAGGTGGACAGCCCCGCTCCGCTCCCTGCGCTCCACTTCCGGTTGGTTTCTCCCACCGTCAGCGCCTGGGGCGGAGACATGCACAGGTGACCCACGCCTA